CAGCTGGGGGTGGGGTGTGAGGTTGGGTTGTGGTAGCTTGATGGGCATAAAGAGGGAGGGACGCAATTGAGGCGGGACGACGGCCGTAGAACTGTCGCAAGCTCTGCGGGAAAACGTGGGTGGCAGGCAGCCGCGAGGGATGCGTGGCCGCGCAGCGGCGCTTGTCCGGGGGGGGGGGGGGTGGCGGCGTCAAGCCGCCGCGCCACCTCCCCACCCGCGCCCACACCCCCACCCAGCGGGCGCACCGCACCGCGCCGCGCCCGCTCGGCACTGACAGCAACGCAATTTTGCATTGCAGCAGCCCCGACCGCCCTGCCGAGCTGTCACGAATCTCTGTTGGTGATAAACAGGCTCAAAAGGTCCCGGCCGCACACCTCTGTCATCAGGCCAAAGTCCAGGATGGCCAGGCGGCCATCGGGCGTGCGAATCAGGTTGCCTGCGGGTTGTTCGGAGGGTGGGGCATGGAGCCCGGGGTGCGGGTGTGTGGGGGCAGAGATGGGGGAGGGGTGTTCAAAACATCCCAACTGCCGGGCCAGCTTCATGACCACCCGCGGGTCTAATCACACCGCAGGGACCGCTCAAATCCACAAGCTCACCGACACCAACCCCCCATCAGGCCTTAGAACTAAGCATGCCGTTCCCCGGGGTGTGAAAACCGGTGTGAAAGCAGGTGTCAACGTGGCAGGAGCCTCACCGGGGTGTGGGTCTGCGTGGAAGAAGCCCGTGTCCAGCAGCTGCTTGAGGTAGCAGATCACCCCCACGTTGACCAGCTGACCGACGTCATCCGCCTTTGGTGGGGTGAGGGGTGGGGTGGGGTGGGGTGGGGGTGAGGGCGAGAGGGGTCCATGGGCCATTGGCTTCGCCGCAAGCGGCCGTCACTCTGCAACCACCCAGACTGCATCGTCCGCAAGCCGTCGTGCGGCGCTCTCAAGCGATTGCAGGGCCCAACAGCCCCGGGGCTCCCCAGGGTGCCGCCCCCTGCGTTGCCCGGGGGCTCCCCATCATTGGTAACTCGAGGGCTCTCAGCCACCCAGAGGTGGCCGGCCACCCCAGAGGTGGCTGGCCACCCGTGGTCACCTTGCTCTGCGAGAGCTTCTCTCCGTCCAGCCACTCCGTGGTGAGGACGCGGCGGCTGGTGTAGTCAGAGTAGGTGAGAGGGACAACCACCTGGGGTTAAGGGTTTCAGGGTTTAGGGGGCAGGGTTTGGGGTTTGTTTTTGGGGGGGAATGAGGGGGTTCGGGTGGGCGAGGTGGGGACTGAGGGGCGAAGCAAGGTGGGACGGCAGGGGGAGGGGGTGCGGGTTTGGAGCAAAGTAAGGGTGAAAACTGCAGGCCCGTGCGCAGGACGATCGCAGAAACGCACGGTGTGAGGTAACGCCATAGCGTGCAAGTGACAATCGTGCCGGCTCAGCGCAGCAGAGGACGCCAAAGTAGCACAACACCCGCAGGGCGCCCTGACCCAGATCCCGCAACGCAGGACCACGTGCAATCCACTTCGGTCGCGCCCCAGATCACGCGCCCCCCAGATCACGCGCCTGCGGCAGGTCCTTGGCCATCTGGGCGGCGAACCGCGTCGCGTTGCCCCCCTCCCTCACGTAATCCAGCTCCTCGAAAAAGCGCGCCGCCCACTCATCAAGCAGCGCCACCACGTCGGTCGTGATCTGGGGGCGAGGGGGGGCGGCGCGGGAGGAGGTCGGCGGGGGTGTGCGGTTGTGGGTGGTTGCGTGTATG